CTTCATAGAAAAACCTTGTGCCTTCATAAACTCATCAAAACATGTATACCACTGTCTAGGAGCTTGCTTCAATCCATACAATGATTTCATCAATCTACAAACCAAACTCTATTGACCTTTGACCTCAAAGTCAATTGGTTGTATCATGTAGATCTCCTACTCTAAATATCCACAAAGAAAGGTTGTGACCACATCCATATGGTCCATAACAAAACAAATTATTGGGGCTAGTGCACATACTAGACAAATTGTAGCATACTTTGCTAAAGGCAAAATACCTCATTATAATCCACACACTTCTCTTGTGTGAAACCTCTAGCCACCAACCTGGCCTTGAAGATTCTCGCCTTATGTCCTACAGGATTGTCTTTCAGCTTGTACGCTCACTTGGAGTCAATCAATGTCTCATTTTCAGAAAGTTCAACCAACTCCCTAGTCTTGTTGTTAATCAGTGAGTGCAACTTCTGCTCCATAGCAACATTCCAATCAAGCTTGTTGACCCAAGCTTGAGCTTCCTTGTATGAAGAAGGTTCAAAATCAACGCCATACCATATTCATCCTCAAAAGTAAGGTCACGATCTTTGAGAATGGATGAGTTGGCCCATACACCAAAGCTTTCAGGAGCTCTACTAGGACGTTGTGATCTACTAGTAGACTTTTTCATTTGATCTCTCTCGTCTAGTACTGTTGCAATAGGTTCATCAACAATAGCTTGCTCATGTACTTCATGTTCTTCAAGAACTTGCTCCACATGCATCGGTGCTTCTTCATGTGATAGATCATTAGTGATAGAATGATCAAACTTCACAACGACAACATCCATGAGTAAAGATTTCACTTTGTTAGTTCGGAAAGCCTGAAATTCTCACTCTTTCAATAAGCTAGGCTCATTGAAAGAAACATCTCTACTAACAACCATCTTACGGGCTACTCTCCTCCGCTTGCTCCTCCTTGCAGCCCTAACCGCGTCGGGGGGAGGGGAGGGGAGGGAGGGTCAAACCCCAAATTTCTCCTCTCCTCCGCTTGCGGAATCACTTTCTCCAAAGGTCCCGATGCGCAATAATCAATTTCTTTACTCACCGATGTAGGGACCGATTGAAAGAATTTGCAACAATTATGCAAGCCACACAAGAAGGAGCAGGATGATTCAAGAGTTTCAAAAGCAAAAGAGCGAAGAAAAGGTCGTGAGTAGGTAGGCTGCCTGTGCAGCCCTAAGCGCGCGGGGTGGGAAGCTCTTTTCCTTCGCCGTTCAAAACTCTTCCTCGAGGAGACAGACGGTGGCATCAACTGAAGAAATGTCTTCTTTCCCTTCGCCCTTTGGAGCTCTTCCTCGAGTGTCAAAGAACTCATCAGCAACAAAGAACCCGTCAACGACAGAAAAAAGCTTCGTCTGTAGTGAAAAACCCTACACTTTGCAGAAATCCGTCAAATATGGTCCCATATCAGAAAACTGTCACAAAAGTCACGTGTTAGAAAGCCGTCACAAAAAAAACTCTGACATAGACACCGAACCGGAATCTGCTCTAATACCAATTCTTTCGATAAAACCTCAGATTGAGCAAACCAACAACACGATAAACAAAAAAAATACATGTATAACGTGGTTCATCCTCAAGGACTATGTCCACGGAAGAATACACTCAAGAGAGTTTACTGCTCGAAGTGAGAAACTTCTTACCACCTTTAGGGTATATATTTCCAAGATAGGTGATCACTGTACGTTCTAAATAGCTACATATGCGGTTAACCTCAATTAATTCCTTAACGGAAGTTAATCTTAACAACAAGAAATAGATAACAAGTGTACAAGTTCATATCCGTTCAACTGAATATCTGATTTTGATGGTATGTCAATCTATGTGTGTTTCACATGTTTTTGAAAAAATTCAGTTTTCGTTCCATCTTCTTTCTTCTTCATGCATGCAGGTTAAATGTCTTGCTTCTCACAAGTGAATTTGCTCTTTTAACGTGTGAAAAGTAATTCACGATGTTGTTGATGGTTGGAATTTTTCCAATGGAAATGAAAAAAATATTTACATTAATTTCACACGTTGTCAGTTTCTTCTCACCCCACTGTATAGACTCTAGATCAATAACTTAAAATCAAGTTAGTCGAAGCATGTTTCATAAAGTTGAAATATAAAAAACTGATTTGAATAGAAGAATCTTGATGGAAATGTAGAGTTAAACCAAGTCACTTGCAATATGGAGATAAATATGCTTCTTGTATCATGAGTCTTATCACACTAAGTCTGGTTTGTCTCCTTATATTTGAGTCTCTCTAGACAAGAGCGTGTAAAATTTGGCAAATGCCGGGTTTGCTAGAATTAAGGTTATTATGGTAATTTTTTCTCCTTAATTTTGGCATTTTTGGCATTGACATTGTAATTTCACTACTTTTTGTATGAGGGCTTGGCAACATTTTGAGCTTTTCAAATTGCTTCACATGCATATACCCGCCAAGGAAAGTCATCTTTCTCCCATTTGATGATGGAGAAGTTGGAAAGAAAGATATGAAATGTACCAAGTGGCTTTTGTTTGAGAAAAAAAAGTCACAATGATAAAAACAAACATGTTACAAAAATGACATAAAATGTACCTGAGTACTTCTGTTCCAGCCAAGAGAAGAGCCATAATCATAAAAAAACATGCTATAGAAATTAAAAAAAGGGTTTGAAAGGGTTTAGACTTAAACTAAACCCTAAACTTGCACTTGTAATCCAGCCAAGAAAAAATTCACATTGATCAAAACATACATACTATAGAATTGATATGAAAATTATAAAATCAAATAAATTTATGAAATGTACTTGGTTTTTTGCTGTTACAGCCAAAAAGAAATTCACAATGATCAAAGCAAATATGTCACAAAAATGATATAATATGAAAAAATAAGAATGAAATGTATGTAACTTGTATTTTTCTTACTTCTTATCTTTTGTGTGTAATTTGCTCTTGTGCTATATTAGAATTACCATAAGTTTGGCAAGATTAATTTTGGCATATTGGCCAGATGAATTTTGGCGTCTAAAAATAGAACCCCAGATTTTACACGGTCTGCTCTAGAACGAATGTATCTCCCTGATCTCTCCAATGGGAATTGTTGAATTCCCATTATGAACTGTTATGTCTCACCAATGATTGATGGGTGGTTTGGTGAGCTTCTCCAGTGTTTGCATATTCAGGAACACATTCGTGTCACAATGCTTCCCTATTCGTAACGTTCATTCTCTAGCGTTTCTAGTTTTATGATCGTCATTAGTCTTCATTGTGTCTAGATGTACGTGTTCTTGTGTCAAGTCCTCATACAGAGATGGAGTGGCTACATGGTGAAGGTTTATACTATCAATCCTGGCACACAGGGACAAGGCCTCGATACTAGTGCTGTGATCCGATGAGTTGATAACAGTAAGATTCAGAGAAGCTACGTGGCTTCCTCTGAAGTACTTTCTAAACGTTGTAAAGTATAGCATGCAGGAAGAGTGTGTGACTAAATACGTGATAACTCGCGATTCGATCACGGAGTTATCGTTCCCCGGTGAGGTCATATCCTTTGATTGTGCGAGTGGGCCTCAATGAAAGCTCAATTCTTGCAGGATGCCCAGGATAAGATACCAGCGGATGTAAAGGTACAGAGGAACGTGCAGTCTCGAGCACGAGGTGCCATCGTAAAAAAGGCTAGCGTTCAAGCAGAAGCATGATTGATGTCCTTACGATGTTGCAGTCGACCGCCAACCCTTTCTGCGTCACTCCATCAGAGGTTTTTCCCACAGCTGTCACAGGTGCCATCTCCGAGTCCGCTCACGCACGACCCTTCGACGTTTTGAGGGGAACCGTAGGGCATTCGCATAGTGCACGGAATCCATTCTCGGTTTAATTGACGAGCAACATCCGGAAGATCCTCGTGCAGTCTCGAGAACGAGGTGCTGTCGTAAAAAAGGCTAGCGTTCAAGCAGAAGCATGATTCCCTACGTTGGTGCAATCGACCGCCAACACTTTCTGCGTCACTCCGTCGGAGGTTTTTTCCCACAGGTCTCACAGGTGCCATCTCTGGGTCCGCTCACGCACGACCCTTCGAGGCTTTGAGGGGAAACCGTAGGGCACTCGCATAGTGCACGGAATCCATTCTCGGCTTAACTGACGAGCAGCATCAGAAAGAACCGCCCTTACTAATACATGCACAAAAAGCTCTTAGTGTGGTGAAATTCTCGGATGACCACATTCTCGTATGGTTCTTCCACATGCACTTCAAAGGTCTCAGGAACGGACGTCAACGAAGCACAACGAGACAAAGCACTCGCCGACCTATACTGGCTACACGATTGGCTCACAGTTAAAGATAGAAGAAGAAGCGTGGCAAAGCCCATGAACCTGTGGTCTTCGTGCACTACGAGGTCTCATACAGCAGATTGCTCTGCGTTCTCATACAAGAAGTGCATCTCCTCCATTTGCTCTCAGCATTCCTGCCGTCTTAGTTCGCATACACCTCACGAGTTTTGGTCAGAGCCACGGCTGCACCAGGCAGGCGTGAATTTGGCCAGACCTCGTATGATCTCCACGATGATTGCATTCCCACGCAAGGCTTTCGTAGGTGCTTACCATAAATTGTTCCTTCTAACAATTTCGTCTCAACAATCATTACTTCAATATCCTGCATCTCCCGCTGGTTCCACAGATCTGTTGCATACCCCTTGGAGTGGATAGATTCCACCTAACTCGAAAGGCCAACAAAGAAAGCATATGTTTCCGCATGCCGCACTGCTCAGAAAGATGTCGTAGTAATGCCGTGCTGCCGCTGATACTGCTGTACTTGGAAGCGGGAAATATATATGGTTCACCAAAAGCCCAAGCTTTCCACTTACTCATAATATATCAGCATTTGTCAAGGACGACTACGATGTTGGTTGACAATTGGAGGCATTGGCATTCATGTAAAGAACATCCTGGGTTTGAGCTCACATCACAGTCCGGCGACGAAATTGCGAGGCAACGCATATTTGACAAGGCTCCAGAGAGAAACGAACAATACTCCGAATACCCCTTCTTTATAAGGACCCACGGTGAGGTCATAAGCACATTGATTCTAATTACAGATTGGTGTGAGCAGGGAACTCTAAAGTTCTCAACATACGCCTAGAGTTCATCTCCAGATATATCAGTACAAGCCTTTCTGAAAGAGAAACAAAAAGAAACTAAAAGAGAGGGCTCGATGATCAAGTGCTGCTTGTTGTCTGATTTTGAAGGAGTACTCGACTAATAGTTTACTGCTTGGAATAGAGTTACAAGAAATCACCAGGTTCCTCACAGAAGGCGACATTACCTTGGGTTCAGCAACCTACAACCCCGAGAGAGCGGGAAAAGTCCCATTGGTGACGAGGAACGTATCACAGAGCTTCAAAATTGGAGCATCATCTACGCTGAGGAAGGCAGTGAAGGTCTCAGCAACAGTAATGCTACAAACAGAGTCCCCATCGCGGCAGAGTACGCGAACTTAGGCAGACGCATCGGCGCTCTTAACTTTGTTGTTCCTCTTGGTCTCTTCGATGTTGGCCTTGATCAAAGAGTACACGGCGACACCGGCGATGGCAATGCAGGTTCCGATACCGGTTTGAGTCGAGATCTTGTTGCCGAAAACAATGATGGAGAACCCGATGACGAACACTCTCTTCAACACGTTTCCAACAGCGTGTGTCAAGGGAGCTACCCTCTCCAGAGTGTTGTTGGCGAGCTGGTTGTACAGATGGTAGAACATACCCACCCAGAACAGGTCGGACCAGAATTTCATGGCACCCACCTTGGCTATGGCATCCACGAAGCCCGACTGCATCAGAACCGGTCCTTCAATGATGATGGCTGGCGGAATGCAGAACAGAAGCGAGAGAATTGAGATGTATGCGTAGACATTGGTGCTGTCCATCCCTGTCATGGCCTTCTTGGAGTAGATGTTCCTGTAGGTGAAGGCCACGTTCGCGGTCATGGCACTGATGAATCCCCTCCAATTGAAAGACAGCTCCGTCATGGACGCCATGGACACTCCGAACACGATGGGCGTGAGCGACAACCACAAGGTGAACGGAATCTGCTGGCCCAGGATGAACTGCGAGGCCGCGGCGTTGAAAAAGGGCTCCAAGGCCTTGATGGTGTGAGTGAACGACACAGCCACGGCAGCGAACGACACATTGGTCATCACGTGTCCCAAAGCGTGGCAGAAGGAGACTGGCACCAGCAGCAGCAGCAATTCCTTGTCGATGGGGGCGCGCTTCGGTGCCCCGATCATCCAGCAGATGGCGCAGTAGGCCACACCCACCAACAAGTGGACGACCGAGACGAAGTACGGGTAGGGGAAGTAATTGTAGATCTTCTTGTTCATGATGTTAAAAATCACATTCAAAAAGTACCAGGCGAAGAAAAAACCTCCGGTGGTCAAAGACTTCTTCGAGAGCAGGCCTTGGCCTCCCTGAGGTGCCACTTCGACGCTTTCGCTCCCGCCCTCGGCAGCTGCGGCTGAGCAGATCACAGCGGCAGACTTCTCGGCCCTGCTCTTGAGCCATAAGTTTCCTAGAGGTGCAAAAGGAGCCTCGGATTCCGACGACTTCCCGAGGCCGGCGAGAGACTTCTGTCGCAAATTCGACTGGCTCAAATGACTTCTCCTGGCTCCCGCGTTCGAATCAGCTCCCAAAACCGCAAGAACCCGCTTGGTCTTTGAAACTGGTGATCTTGCTAGGGAAGGAAGGACAAAAGCACTAAGTTTTCCGTTCGTGGTTGCTCCTGGTCGACGCCCTAGAGCGTCCTTGAACGAAAGCCCGGAGGCCGTCGTGGGCATCCACGCCACAGCACTCATCGCTCCGAGTGCCATTGCTGCACTCAATCAATCAATCCACACGCCACGACAACCCTTATCCCCGTCAGCCAGCCTGCCCGAGGGAACCAACATCAATCAAGAACTCGTTCGCGATCAAGATTGCGTAGTTCTTCACGCAGATTCCTAGATCTCTAAGATCTACCACCACGCAACCAGGCATTTCACGCATCGCAATCCCATCCATTCGACCGGAACTACACTCAACGCTACGATACTCTTCGAAACTACGCTCTTTTCACTCACCCAACCCTCAATTGTCAACAGCCCCACCCGCCCGCCCTCGAGACGGAAGAGGGGAGCAAAATCCTCAGATTGCAAAGACGGAATCCCCCCCTTCCCAACAACTATCACAAGAAACTAAGCCTTCCCTGCACTCGTCACATTGCATCAATTGCACCAAAGATGCCGGCTCGAGGGGCATTGGTACCGAAGAATTCGAAGAATCAACGCGACGCCGATGCTCACCTGAGAGACAGCCCGCCCGACGGACGGAGAGACAGAAGGAAAGCGCGGGGTACGGGGAAGGTGGTGGGAGGGAGAGAGCAGGTGATGAGTCGGAGACTCGGAATCGGGAAACACAAAACCACGCACAGACAGAAGGCAGACAGACAGACAGACAGACCGACGCAAAGCAACGCGAAACGAACGACAGGCGAACTCGTCCTCCCTCCTGCGCTCCCTCCAGGGCAGGGCAGGCAAGCCAGCCACTCACGCCAAGCCAAGCCACGCCAAGCAAGCAAGCAACAAAACAAGAGACCCACCAACCTTGCCTGCTCTCCTACTTCTTCACTGCCTTGCTCCCTCGCTGCTCGCTCGTTCGCGCTGCGTGCCTGCCAGCCTCCTCCTCCTCCTCCTGCTGCTGCTGCTCCTGCTCCTCCTGCCTTCCCTGCTGGAGCTGGCCGCTGCGCCCTCCTGCCCTGCTGCTGCTGCTGCTGCTGGCGATGCTGCAGATGCTGATGTGAGAGCGGCCTGGGGGCCCTCTTCTCCCTCTGGCCTCTGAGCCGCCTCACGCCCTCACGCCCTCGCACTGCTTCAGGCTGGCCGTCGACCTGCGCAATGGGCTACTGACGACGAGGGAGCGAGCCAGCGATATTCCGCAACACGACGAAGCCGCAGAACTCGTGCGTCCGGCCGTCCGGCCGTCCGGCAGTGAGGGTGAACTGAGGGCCTGGCTGGGCTTGGTCTGTCGGTCTGTCTGTCTGTCTATCCTCGAGGCTCGAGGGTCTAGAATCCGGATGTTGGTCCGAATCGGAGCTTCGAGTCTGTGAACCACCAATTGTACTTCTAGTGCCTCTCGCTCTGGCTGCCTTATCGCCGGGCGCAATAACAAGTGCACTTTGCCCAGACGGATGATGCTCCTCCTGCTGCTCCTGCTGCTGCCCACAGCTTTGCCTGCCTTGTATTCTCCTTCCCCTTCGTAGATCCACGCTTTCGGGGTTGCTTGCCGGCCTCGCAGTCAGTCAGTCAGTTCAGTCCTTCCCGCACTAGCTCACTCGCTGCACTGTGACTATTTTCCATCGTCTTGCTCTCTCCGTCCGTCTCTCCTCTCGCTCTGTTCACAGCACGACGGCTTCTGGGGACGGCTGAGTCCAGTCCCTCGACCTCTTGGCACTGTCTCAGTCTGTGTCTCTCTGGCCGCCTCGACACGTCCCGGTCGACACCTCTCGGAGAGCGTGTGCATGCGCGAGAGAGAGAGAGAGAGTGAGTGAGTGAGTGTCTATCTGTCCATCTGGAACCAACTGTTGGCAACCGACGAAAAACATCGTGATGACATCGCTTCGCTACTCTGCAGTACGTAATGAGGACTGAATCTCAGTCGGAGTCGCTCCCTCGATTCCGATGGTGCTGGGACTTTGCTTGCACAATTCGGCAAACGAATCGAGCAGGGCAACAACAACAGTCGGGGGAGTGATGAGCAGTGCAGCTCCATTGTGCACCAGGTGTCTACCATAGGCTTGTCTCTCGAGGCACTGTTGTTGGTCCCGAAGGTGGAGGGGGTGGAGAGGGGCTCACGATACAATATTCTGTTTCAGATTGGACGAAGCACAGATTCCACCGCCGGCGGAAACTGTAAACAATGGTCGTTAGGTGCGGTCTACCTAGATCACGCCTCAACGACATGCATCCTGGGTCCCGAGGAGGAAACATCTGCTGCTGCGATGTGTCTGACTCGAGGAAACGCTCTCCCGGTTTCCCTGCTCATAGCAACTTTTTCGCCATCCCCGCGCACCATCGGGTCGTTCCTGACCTCCTGAGGAAGGTTCTTCGCATTGACTTGATGCATGGACTACTCACTTACGCTGCGTTTAACCCCCATGGAAGCTTTGAAGCCTATCGTAGCATTGTGTAAATATTCCACACCTGCGTGTACATTTTGTCTTCCGCGGCGATTGCTTTTCATGATTAGGCATGCTCAAAATTTTGTCTCGACCTGGAGCTCTGGAATGGACTCGATCTGAAATTCCTGGCTTAATGTCAAATTTTCGTCCACTTTTGCCTCGAGCTGCACGCGGACCTAATTTCCGATCGGACAGTGAATTTGAGCCTTCGCTCAAATTCGCCTGTCGGGCAAGTACTTCTCGTAACTGCCGAGAACCAGAGCGAGCACTGCTGTTACTTCCAATTTGTCCAAAGCTTATGCGTTCACTGATAGACCTTTTTCTCTTGCGGGATTTCCTCCGGATCAGCATCGCTTTTACCCTGTCGATTCGGAGGAGGATTTTCAGGCACGGTTCGCTGCACGCTTTGCGAACGAACCTCAAAGCCAGCCCATGACACGATCCGGTTGAGGGATCTGGCCGAGAGCTGCTTGCGAGTCAACCTCGACAGGAAAATCGACACCAGATCCCCTGACGCAACGCAATTGACGTGACGCATGTGAGGTTCGAGTCATGGACAGAACCAATCAGATCAACCACAACCTTGCGACCTCGAGAATTGCTGCCGACCTTACACCGACAGGCCCTGATTACGATTTCGGATAATCGTTCAGAAGGCATTGTGGCTTTAAACTCGGAACCTCCACAACCTTCAGAATATCCTGAACCAAGAGCAGTGAGACAACTGGTGGCGCAGATTCGAATCGACTGGTCAAAATTCGGATCCAATGGAAGTTTTGGGTGAGCATTTGACTGCGGTAACCAAGTCAATGGGCAGCAGGCAAGCGAGGAAGGGATGATGAGGCCGTGGCGGGAGAGGCCATGTCACCAGCATCGGCCGATTGTCCGATCCATCGGCACCCAAGACCCGACTCCGTAGGTCGTCAGATCGGGCGCCTAGCATTACCTGGCAGCATATTATGGGAAAGAGATATTTACAGCATCGCCAAGTAGATCCGAAGCTGCCATGTGTCCAGTCCGATCTGATCTGGTCTGCCAAGTGTTCCAGATCGCGTCGCATTCGACTGGAAAAGAAGGACCCAGTAGAATCACCAGAAAAGGATCTGAATCTTTTGAATGAAGATGGAGAATCCACGGCTCAGATAACTTCCATGTCCCGTATCCAGTTCGGATTACAAACTTGGTCTGCATACTCTAAGCTCTACACGTCGTGAACTGTGACGAGCGAACAGAAATACATTGAGACCGCCGTATCAAAATGAGCTATCAATTCTGTAAAGATTAAGACTGTCAACATGTGATTTTCAGATGAAAATAAATTCAATTCATTCTGATTTTTGAAAAAATATTGAAATCAGATCGATAGGTTTTTATGATTTTATTTTTATACTCCGAATATTTAAAAAAAATAATTAATATGTATATTTTCCACTATTGGTATTTGATGTCATACTATATAATGATCCGATGTGTCTTGGATCATTACACAGTGTGTTGATCACCCCCATTTTCAATACTACCTTATATAAAAAATTCATATGAGACTTAGTGAAGACTAAATTTGCATTGAGAATATCAAAATGATTTTATCAAATAATAAAACTATAGTTTTATAATAAAACTATACATGAACCCTAAATTCATGTATAAGATCGTTTTATGTATTATTTTTATACATTAAAATACTAAAGAAATTTTATTTCAAATGGTCAGATTTTAATCCTCCGAAGACATCTAACCAGTTGCTGAAGAATAGACCACGAGAGAATCGTAATCAATCTGATGTGGGGTAGCTAGCGTATATTTTCGATGTTCGTACTAACAAAGATGGGACTGGTAATAATCTCAAAGTCATAAAAATCGCATCTGATATAACTAGTTCCATGTATGATTTGATAAGGATGTGGAATAAATTATATTAGCCGTAGATAATGGGTAACATTTAAAGGTTTGAAGTAAAAATGGTGCAGAGTGTCACATTATAGAGATGAACGGGTTGAAACATTTTTTATATCTCAAATGTTAGGTTCACATGATAAGAAATCTATAAAGTATAAATATATCCTTATATTCTTTGAAAAGTCTTGTTATGGATAATGCACAAATGAGATAATGGCTTGGGACGATTTGTATTCATTTCTATATCGGTCTATTTGATGAGAATGTTGCTTTTCCTTGTAATAATATATCTTCAATCGATGAATGATATATACATATATTATTGTTTACATTCGTTCTCACATGCTTTCAAACGTTTTCACACCCGAAAAAATGATTCGATAGATGAAAACCATAATCATCGTATAGAACACAAAACTGACTTAAATCTGAAATTTTTCGAAATGGCCTGAGAATTTAATCTGAAGCAAACTTGCTAATATTTTTCAGAATTAGATCATTGGTAAAATGATACCGCACGTGAACTCCCCGGGTAGTAAATAAAAACCCTTCCAAAGATTTAAAGAGTTCAAATTTCACCACAAAATGTTAGACATCGTGCTAGTCCCTCGTTTAACAATAATCACAATCTTCCTTAAATACGAATGAAGTGTAATAGGGGTTGAATACTGAACAATCCGGCAACAGGCTTTGACGGAAGAAGAATACACTTTACGGCACATTTGAACACACTGTTCGTGGTGCGTAAAATTTCAGTCCTGTAGTCTGAAATTCCTCGTCCGGAACCGTACCTCTTGCATCTGTACAAGCTATGCGGGTGTACTTCTGTCTGGGAAATTTCTGCAGTTTGCACACGTGTCGGGCCAAATTGGAATTCCCGCAGAACGGAATTCATTTGCTGTCAACGAGCGATGTTCTTTACCTGCAGCCATTGGAATATACCTGTTTTAGATATCCGGTCCCTGTTGTCAACGTTGCAAATTTAGTATCGTCGCACTTCTGAGTTCCCCAGGTCCTCGATCCACGCACCTTGGCAATGACGGTGCCGTGCAACTGTAAACCGACACCAACACGAGCAGAGCGAATTATGCCATCGAATGCGTGAAATATGAGGGGAAACTTTCGAAATGTACGTAAGTATACGTCCGTGGGATTTGACCCGATGGTGAGTAGACTTATGACAATCGCTCTTGTACATAGCGATTATCAGAAAATCTCGCAAATATGGGACTATGATGAACACTTTTTAGAAATACCAGAACAGTGCAGTTATTTCAAAAGGATCGCCAATTTCCATAGTTAACAGATAGATATTGAAGTATATTAAGAGAAAATGCATGAACACCTTGTACATGGCACGGGAACTCATTTGAATGGGTCTGATCGAAACTCGTGATTTCTAACTGCAGTAATCAGCACGAGTGTTCTTGTTGTCTACGTGATTGGTAATGCAGTCTCTGAACCCCTCGAAGCCGAAATTGCCAAATTTCAGAACGGCAGGGGGTTGACTCAGCAGGCAGAAGTGGACATGGCTGATGTCAAGGGAGGGACATTCCGTCCTTCCTTCCGTCCCGTTGCTTGACTGTCTCGACTCCAGTAAAGTTAAGGCCGATCGGGTCGGGTCTCGGGTCAGATCACATCCAGGAAAAACAGCCGACAGCCAATCGGAGGCCCTGATTTGATCCCGAAACATCAAAACCTGGACCACTTCTTTGCGACCCTCTGACAGACATCTTTTGCGCCAGTTTGGCAGATCCAAGTGGCAGCCGCGGTTCGTTCTCGTCGAGATTACTGGCTCCATTGCGCCGCTCGTGTGTGGCGAGACTGGAAGCGACATGCTCTGCTCCTTACGACACGGACGAGTTCAGTCTGATGATCTGATCGTCCGCTCGCGGGACTCGGGAAAAAGCTGCTGTTGGATAAATTTGGGCTCCGCTCCATGTGAGATTGCGGATTGCGATCTAAATTCAGGACTCCAGGCCAGAGGTCAATCATATCCTGGATAAGCACCAATCAGGGAACAAGTTCTTCACCTCGTCCCGATCGATGGCATTGTCCCTGATCGTCTCTCTGGTTTCGGAAATTGCATGCACGCATTCTTCTCCCCCTACAAACAAAATCTCTTCCAAATTGAGCCTGCAAATACTCAACGGCTCACCTCCCGTCACTCGCTTCTCTGCTGCTATCACAGTATCGGCAAAAGCCAGCCAGAGTGACAGCTGCCAGAGTGTATAGACGAGAGCCTACGACCACATGATGTTTGAAGCAGAGTCACTGATCTCAACACACACACCTCAAATGCATGCTAGAGGGATAATTGTATAACTTGCCTGTTGTTTCGAGAGTTCTAACCTGGCATTTGGACAATGAATCCATAGGTCCACACGTCCAACTCTTTACCAAAGTCATCACCCATCTTCTCTGCTCTCCATAGACTTCACTTGCTGACTCTTATGACTAGATTTGTCAACGCATTGAGAAAAACCTCGAGTCAACTACGGTGATGCGCAGGGATTCACCAAACTGAAATTGAGGATTTCCTGCTCAATTTTCACTCTTGCACTTGTCTTATCTTAAGCAGTTCATTTACTGACTCGTGTCACATTAGTGGACATAAGGGTCCACATAGGGATAGAGGTTCAGATACATTGCACGCCATTTCAGGTTTAGTCCGTGTATAGAATTATTGTGCGGCAGAGTTAATTCGCTCACTCGAGATGTTGACGGTTTCGGCCTCAAAACAAAACTTAACTGTATTTTTCGTTGTCTCGTCTTAACCTCGCTTCAAATGTACTCAGTACTCTCAATAGGAGAGGACTGAGAGCGCTGATGAACCACTGGGCTGATGTCACATGTTCCTTCAAGTAGAAATCCTGTTGGACGACGAATCTTCCAAAATTCAAAAACGTGTGAGTTCGCAGGACAGAACCAGTTCATCCTTTTCCTTTGAGTTCCACGAAACATGCGACATGTCCAACTGTTGCATGTCGGCAGAGACCGGCGGCAGTTCTCTATTCAGCATTCAAGCTCCTGGCTTTATTGTCTTGTAACTTTGTTTAAAGACGAAGATAGCTTTCGATAGCTACCCTTCTGAGGAAGAGGTCCTGTACCTCTAGTAGGAAATCCAACTTATCTGCTGCATTAGATCTGAACTGTGTAATGTTCTTCCCCACCTCTAGTCACAGAAGTCTGGTAGATAACTCAATTTGAATAAAGAACCTTCTTCTACAGGTCATAGTCCTACACGAGAAAGTCTTCATGATCGCTCAGAGGCATACGCATCAATGACCCTCAAACCTCACCTCTACTAATACTGAACGTTGTTGCAGACTAAAAGAGGTCCGACAGAGTAACTAAAGTTTGTCATAAGTTGATACTTAACAACTGGCCGTGAAGAATGTGTAGATATTCAAGATATAGGAAATTTACGGCTTTAGTCAAAATCGAACTTTTCAATAATTTACAACCACGGCTTTTGTGGGCGTCGATGTTAGTACGTCTATACAATCTGATTCATGATGTAATTCATTGAAATCGAACGAAAAGTCCAGAACTTGTGAGGGACCTCTACGAGTGAATGAGAAGAAGTAGAAAGAAAAAGGACTGAAGTCACATATAAGTGGATCTGACAACCTTCCCATTAGCTGCTTGGCTCCACCCGTGACACCGAGTTCTAAATTCGCCTTTCGACCTGGACCTCGTGTCAATGATCGAAGTCGTCTCCTAACCAATGCCAACATTTTGTGTTGATCTTCCTCATAAGCTACAAGAGTGTTAATGCTCTAAGAAGATGAATTCAGTTCGAACGATCCTTCAGCTTGGTACACAGGCACAATCCTGTACCTGCCAGAACATGGGCAACTTGACAGAGTTGATTGAAGAAGAGACCTGCGCACCAACTCCTGTGCTGTTCACTGGGATATACCGACTCTCCTTCATAAAACGTCTGCATCAGACGGCCTTTGGTCGTTATACAGTTCAAAATGTTGGAAGAAATCTGGGCAGCGAAACCAGCTGAAGGGAATGGTGAAATACCTAGAAAAAACAATCCACTGCGTTCTGGTTCAGCGTAGGGTTTATCCCCCTATATGTCGATCCCAATGATACAAGCCCATGCACCGCAGCTGTTTCCATCAGACACTCTCCGCCTTTGTATAAAAATTCAGGCTTGAAGAAAAGGCCGGACGAGTCACCGATGCTTTGGACGAGCGTCTAAAGCATCTTCAATTTCCAGCCCGCCACAACTGCGTGTTTACAACAGTTTGTTGAGTTGACTACAGAGCCTATGTGATGTCTCCGAGTGTTTCAGAGTGGAAGTTGGCAGGAAGAACAAGAAAATAAATTTCAAGAAATCTACACTGGCATTTGACGTCAATGTGTATGAAAAGGGAGGCCCAAACCTAGTAAGGCAGAACTTTGGTGATAATTGACTTCTTATGATTCCATCCTATCTTCGTTAATGTAGTCACAAAAAGATCAATAAATGCGCTAGTGCCGGACATGAAACTTACAGATTTAGAAGCTGGAGAACCTCCATTGCAGCGCTCTGTACGTCTACAACCAATTTCCTAGTGCTCGACTCAAAATATGCCTCCACAGCCTCGTCCGTGAATCTGAGAACAATACTTATAAGTGATTCGTTCCTGCAACTACTTTGCGGCTCCAAATACACCTACCAATCATTACTCACAAGGTAGAAACGAAAAATGGCATATCCTTCGGGTCCAATTCTAGGCATAAGGATCTAATTGCTCCCGCACTTAATCTGGTACTTCTTGAACTGGCTCCAAACAGAACCTTTTTATATGTGCAGGAACTCGTGGCCAGGTATAAATTATCACAGTACGAAGTCTGGAAAGGGCCTGCAGCAGAAACGGACACTATGAGATCCTAGAAGTCCACAGCTATCATACTAGAAGTAATAACAAATCAGATTTCTTCATGCATGTCAGTAAATGAATTTCACGGGCTCTACCAGATGAACACACCAAAAGGCAGGTTAAGTCGTCTGGCGCGTGCAGCCAATAATACAACAATGGTAAGAGTCTGCTGAAGTGTGCAACTAGAACCAGCCCCATAGCCTCCATCAGTGGTGTGACTTCTTGAAGCCAGATTACTCGCCTTGCTTGATCGTCCCTATGCCTTTCTAGCTCGTTTAGCATTTCTCCGAGAAATTGTCTATACCTGAGCCAGTAGAGAAAAGTAAACACACGATTAGCCACGATAAAAGATAATATCCACCGGGAACTGGCCATTTGAAAAAAACCTGTGTTAATGCAGTCTTACCACGGACTACGGGGATTACTTCCTTCACAGCGAGTCACCGTTGCTATAGCTAGCTTCACGGCAACTGGCCAAAGGTCTTCGCATCCAACCAAACTTCGAGATACTGCTTCGAGAATAACATCTTTATTCCATCGAAACTCCTTGGGATTCATATTCCTCGCGACATGAAGAAAACTTCTCATGGCTCGTCTCTGAATCACATCTTGCAAAGCACAAGTAAACTTAGAGTTGAAGTTTCCGACAGATCTCATTGTCTTTCATCGAGATTCAGCAACTTCACAAGCAAGAAATAGTATTCTTGTAGAGCATTCGTACCTTAACTTCTGGAGAAAAGTGATCCAAGGCTGTCAGAAGGCAAGGGATTATCAAGGACCTGTGTGATTCAAGGTCTGCTTGCTCCAACTGCACATTATTAAGGGTACAACAAGCACCGTCAACGGTCTACGTCTTCTTTGTCACTGAGCAGAAACTCTTAAATTTATCAGTTCATTCTTGACAATTCAAGCATTGTCACATTCTGAACATATTACCTGCCTCACAATCCAGTCCATTTGATGGGCAGCGACAATAGACGAGTCCACACTTCCATTGGCGTAGCTAGTCCTTTCGCCACTTTCCCCAGAATCCCCCTTAATGATCTCCTTCAGTGTTGACAGCAATGACAGTAGGTTTTCTGAAACCACGCTGGAAATGCATTTTGAAGATGAACTATTCCTATCTAAGCCTAACCCCGTGCCTGGGCCATGACACCAGCGCAAGGAGTTATGCAGAGAAACTAACAAGCTAATAGCCAGCTCACGGTGTTCGTCACTAGTCCAAAGCACAGACCCCACATTATCACCGTCACCGCCAGCAAAAGTAGCACAGCAAAGAACCAAGTCTTCCACCAGTTTTCTTTCATACGGCTCGGTGCCCAAATGCCAATCCTTGCCATCAAGGATAGACTTCACAATTTTGAGAAGGGGAGAACTTATTTCGAGAAAGTCTCGGCACTTAGTCCCGACTGTGTCATCCTTCGCAGTAGAGGTAAGAACAGAGGGCACATGCATCACCTGCAAGCACCAGGGTACATTAGCATAGCTGTGGGAGTAGACGTACATGCCAATTCATCTCGAGACCCTGGAGGGATCCTAAGAAGCCTGCAACCTCAGATCAATTCAACCGCAGAGTGTTGCCTCGCACTAACCTCCAAAATATGTTGCAAAACAATGAAGTCTTCTTCACCAAGGTTGGACTTTCTGACAGAATTTTCTTCATCATTCTCAGGTACAGGAAAGTCGAACACTAATTCTTCGGCATCAAAAGCTCCAAAAGCGATAGCTAGTGCCTTCAAACTTGGTGCAAGTTTTGCGGCCCCAAGGGCGTCGGCAATTTCTTCATCAAATCTGCCTGTTTTAGTGTATGTTCTAGGGGGTTTCGTGCCAAGCAGATAGTAGCTGCGGTTTCTATTGAGCATGGATACAAGGGACTTCCGGTAAACTCCCGATCCCAGGCATCTGAAATTCCATAAAAGAGCCAAATTGAGTATGTAAGAGCAGTGAAGTGAAGTACCGAACATCATAGAATTCCTCACAAAGTGGCTCGTTCTCCGAAAAATAGATAGTAAAACCCTCAAAACATCAAAAACCATTGTCAATCTGAGCGAACGATATTATCAGGTTACCTCAAGCACATTCTCAGCCCTTTGACAAGCACGCGGTTATTTCTCTTACAAGCGTCCTCCAGAGCTCCACCCACGACTATCACAAGAAGAGGCACCATATCTAATTCTTGTTGTTGAGGAGGCTCTCTGTTCAACTTAGGCAGAGGCAGAAGCTGCAGATAAGCAGCGGCAGTCAGCCCAGACAGAAGAATTTGACCGTTGGGAAAATTGTCCAGGCCTGAAAACTCTCGTCCGGAGTGACTCTTAGCTGATTCTGGATATTGCACTTGCATAGCAGGATGTCCAATTGTTGCCTCGACGAAGCGATCGCATAGGGCTAAAACAGCTGTCTGCTGACAGAAACAAAACTCTACTTATTTTCCATCAGATCAGCCATACAAAACCAGTTCTCGATACTGACATTGGCTCCTATTTTCTAGGGGACATCGGATACCAAGCTTGCAATTGCTCACAATCAAGAGATATTTGTGAGGGCATGTGAGAGGGGTCATACTGCAATATTAAAGTCAAATCACTTGAAAATCGTAATATAATAAATCAGATAACAAGGATAGACGAAAAATCAAGCATACTTTTGTAAGCTCAGATATCAGAAAGCACTTACGTTCACTTCATGCGGGGAGGAGGGCAAGAGTATTTGTGATATGCACCGAAAAATAACCTGTTGGACTTCCGGTTGTGGATCCAAACATGTCGCAAGTAGTCCCCACACATTCTCAGCAAACCTGGAGTCCTTTCATTAGACTCAAAATAAAGCGGCTCTCAAGAAGTTATCATTTGAAATGCTTCGACTAATGGTGTTCTCATCTTATCTTGCACACGATAGGCCAAGAAAATGAGAGCTTGCGGAGATACGATTAATAACAACATCTACTAGCTCCAACCTTGAATGGGCTTCAAATAAAAGTTATCACGGTCAAAACCAGGACTTTGCTACTCAGGTGAGCTTTTAGCACCACACTTGGAACAATGAAATCAACCATGAACAAAACTGGCCACGACGGGGGGCCGCCATTAGGCAGTGTATTCAAGAGCTGAGGTTAGGGGACTCACGAGTTTGCAGAAAGTGAGTCCCTCAGAGCTGATAGGATCGTGGTTGCGGACTCGATTGCAGCAACTCGAACCTTCACAAAAAATTGCGGTATAAATAATTCAAGCAGATGAACTGTCACACTAAACCTCAAATATAAGACCTCGGCATATCATGACGACAATAAGCGTTATTTGTCCCCTTGCATTGACCATCCAGAGGACTATCGTGATCCGGTCTACTTGGGGTTTGGTGGTGGAAAGCTATCTTGTACAATGGCTACTTCAAAACCTTATCTAATCCATGAAAAAAAAATCTTGTTCACGAACCTGCCAGTGAGAGTCGTGGAGAGCAAGATCATAAACCAATTGTTGTGACAACTGCTCGTATAGTTTAAAGTTCAGATCTGAGTTCGAAGAAGAAAGCCCGTCATTCTTGACAAAAGGTTGGACTGCACGCTCGGCAGCTGTGACCCGTGTTCGCCATCGAGGAGCTTTGAATCCCTCGGAGCCCAAGAGACTTTCGGGCACGAGATCATTCGAGGTTGAAACAGACGAAGCTACTTCTCCTTCCATGTCTTAGACTAGACCAACTGCAGCAAACTACTTAATTTGTCGGGTCACAGTGAGAGGCAGCTTGCCATAACGTCGAAACCCTTCACAAAATTTACAGACGCCACAGAAATGGGCTTATTTAAGCTACACCATACAAGACGTAATATCAATCAATTCTCTGTTGGAAGGCTAAATTTCTTTGCAACAAGGGGAGCTCAACAATTGGAAAGCATAGTTGTTAAGGCAAATCCTGTGATGATAAAAATTTCCGGCAGGTGTCTCCGAAACGTGAGAACTTTTCCTTACTGAGTCACCAGAGAGAGTCAGTCTCTGACTCCGGTTAACTGGGTGTCACATACCTCCAACCTGAAGAGTAATTACGAAATCTTGCTCAGCTCCTCTATCCAAACTAATCCAGGATAGGAAGAAGCGGCACCCCCAAATCTCAGTGAAAATGTAGGAGAATTTATATTAGCTGAGAAAATACGATGTACCCAATACTAATCCTCTGGAACGGCTACTACTGAACTGTGGCTGATGCTTTTTGACTTCCTACTCTAAATACTATCCTGTACAGGAACAGGAGAAGTATGAGGGCTTGCTACTAATATGTGGTCTCCAGTCGGAAACCATATTTCTCGTGAAAACAACTCTATCTCCGTGGATCAATCAAACCCTTGGACCTAAAATCATCAAAAAAATCGACAAAATTTACTGAACCGATTACCTTCCCCAGCCATTTTCTTGAATCGCCAGCCGCCCCATACTTCCTAAACCCTAACAAATACCAAGCTCCAGCTCTCTCATCACGCCACCAAAATTCATTCACGACCTTTTATCCTACAAATTATGAAACTGCGCCACTGGCTCACACTATAATACCCGAAAAGTGAAATATTCCGGAATTGCTAGTTGTCAATTGAGTGACGACCAAGATCACCTCGCCCTGATTTGCCTCGTCTAGCCTTCCTGCTCCCTCCATATCTTCGACCGGAGCAAACTTTTAGAAAATCCTCGACAGCTCCAATGTCTGTCAATGTCAGAGGGCAAGCTGTGAGCTGAACATTTTGAACAAATTTGGAATATATTAAAGTATCGCCACAAGTTGCACATTAAGCCCTTCATCAAGAGTCAGAATTAAGTTTTCTCCTTGATCATTATCCGACAAACCGCACAGACTTCAATCAGACAATGACAAAACCCAGCTAACCAAAACGACATACAGGTTGTAGTCTTAGCAATTACGTCAGAACAGACGTGAATTCGACCGAGACTCACCACATGTAACTCAGATCCTTGCTGTGAAAGTTGTTTCACAATGGCCTTCTTATTCGAGGATCTACGGAACAACTAAGTGTCAAAACAACTGATCTGGTAGGTTCGATGCAAATTTACAGGCATCTAATATGAACTCAATATCCTCAGGTACTGGTTTTGCTCTGCAGGTCCTTCTGTACTCAGACCAATCAACAGTCATCGACCTCTTCTTCTTCTGAATAATTCCAGTCCGGTAATGTGGACTATCATCATCACTGCACGCCCCCTGACGTTCAATGTGTCCCACATTATGCTTCCGCATCTTTTCTTTCACAGAGAACTCTCGTGATATTGGATTCATTATCATTTTTTATTCGAGGGGCAGTATTTGCAAACGTCAATGCTAACCTCGAAAGTCTTCATTAGGAAAAATGGGGACCAAGGAATATAGCAAAGAGGTAATTACATGCTCTTTCATTGCAGAAATCCGTTACTGTTCTTCTGCATCTTAGTTTTAGCATGTCTTTTTCCAGCTACAAACGCTTCCGCCATTTATGCAATATACATTATTCGCAGTTGTATTTTTCGCGTGAACGATTGAATCCAATCTATGTTCCCATCCAGCTCAGATCCAATGGCTTTGTTGAAAATATGCAAGAATGGAAGCCTTATGGCTCATGAGATATTATGTTTTTACAACTCCTATACCAACCAAGACTTCACTTACTATTACATCAAATTATTCATAACTTCAAAATTGTAATACTTAATTAAACCTACAAATGATACTTCAAATCTAAATCTTAATGATGGTTCGTAATAGTAACGGATGGAATGCACTTTGTTTTATCGTGCAGCATGTACAAATTATGAAAATTCTTTAAATATTGGATACGACACTCATTTATATTTCTTTATTTATATATTTATCCACACAGACAAGTGATATACAAGTATCAGAGTCATACACCAGAAAGTTACGTAAGAAACAATTTACCGTAGTCAACATTTTTTAGTGAAGCAAATAATCATGTTTCAATTCTTTTGGGATTTTGCTAAAATTTTCATACGCAAAACCTCCGAACACACACAAAATTAAACTATATTCATAACATGTATAACAATTCTTATCAATTTTGTTATATTTGTTTCTATACACTATGATGGTACCTTCAGTAACACATTTTCATACTAAGTATGTACAAACAAGAAAATTTCAGCTATCAGATGTAAATAAAAGGTACAAATATTTTTTTCTGATATTAGAGATTTATGTAAGGACAAAAACTAACTAATAAATGAAAACTCGCATACTTGTTGTAAAATCACATTTCAAATATTTTTTGTAAATTATCATCAAGATTCTATTTGAAACTCAAGTATATAATTGACTCGTCAAAATTCATACCTTATTTTTTAAGTAAACTGTATTGATATGAAGAACAATAAAACTTAGCAAATCTATCACTACGTATGTTCTTGACATCTATTTGAATTATGGTAAATGGTAAATAGATCAAGCCCGTGGGACAAAAGGCCCGTGGGGTCAAAAGGCTGAAAAACACAATACAAACAATCCAACGCCAACCTATGAGAGAACCAAAAGATTCCTCTAGCAAGTGCAAAGAGCACTAGAACGATAACTAATAACATCCCTAATGTAACAACCTGAATCATAAGTCTCGAGCTGAAGCAAAGAACTCTATGACCCACTCTAATCTCTACATATCTAGTAGAAGTAAGAAATACATGCTCTTCATCCTCAACTTTTCTTCCATCACATAGTCTACAAATACATTCACTCCTATCAATGTTCAACCAACGCCCTTCTTCAATCCCAAGACTATGAATTCTTGTTCTATGCCTAGCAATAATATGACGTAAAGAAGTAGAGGTCTCTGCAAGTAAGTATCCTTGCTCACAATAGACAAGCATAAGATTCACATGAAGTTGATAAAACTCCATTTTAGTGCCTCGTCTGCTCTAAATAATGCTGAGAAATTCCCTTTTGATACGTTCACGTAGGGCAATAGTTTGCAAATCTTAATCGAGTTCCGTCACATTCCACCTCAAAGAGCAAATCACCACATTTGCAAACCACCCTTTGGGACGTATGGCACACAAAGCTTCAAGAGTAAATCTAGAAGCATCAAGAGATCTCACTCTTTTGACGTAAGTGATAGTCAAAAAGAGAGCTTCAGCCTCAAGATGTAGACAACATGTTTCCGCAAGAAGAATTGCATATGAAGTTTGAGTCCTCACACTTAATTCTTCTTGTAAGAAGATCTTATGCACCCTCTTCAAACGTTGCCAACCTCTTTTCTTACAACTAGGACCCTACACTTGTGTTCCATATAAGATAACGGGAAACGCTAAGCCTCTGAATAAGAATTTCCTAAGACTTTAAGACACTAGATGAAATCATCTACATCTATTTAGCAAGAATATAGAGCCTTGAAACCAGCTTCTACCCTCTTTTGCACACAAAGTGCCCAACTATAATCGTAAGAGAAATCAATGTCTAAATATTTGGAACTCTTCACTTGTTTCAATTCTAATCTTTTGTAAAAGAAAGAAAGCGTGGATCTAGTGCCCACAAGAATGACTTTGGATTTCTCCAAATTGACCTTCATTTGATTTTGAGTACAAAAGCTAGCCAAAATGTCAAGGTGTTTCTGTAAACTAATGGCATCACGTGCTAGTAATATGATATCATCTGCATACAAAATAGCTTTGATAACAAAGCCTCCAAGTTTGACAACTTCACTGTCACAATCCTCTAACCATCTTTCAATATAATCTATGAAAACTCCAAAGAGAGTAGGAGAGAGTGTACAACCCTGAATGACTCCAATGGTACTCAAAATCTCTTCAATTTGAGAATTGTTGATCTTGGCCCGAAAATAGTGATATAATGTAGCCACCGGTGCTAAAAGATCTGATGGTACTCCAATCTTTGCCATAAAAGCTCACAAGGTATTGTGTCAAAAGCTTTCTTGAAATCAATGAAGACACAATACAAAGATTTTCCATTACCCTTTGATTTCTTCCATAAAACACGCAAAATCAAGATATGGTCAATAATGTTGTATGTAGGACAAAAACCAGCGTGGAACCGCGTTCTCTTTTGATAAGATTCAGCCCATGTGCTCAACTTTGATTCCACCAATTTTCCAAATAACTTGGCAAAAATACTACCTACCATAATAGTCCGATAGTTTGTCACGAAGACCTTCTTCTCATATTTGTAAATATAAACAATCTTCCATAGAGACCAAGTTGAAGGAAAGCCAAAGATAGTAGCATTCTCTAACATTTTAGTGAGAATAGGCCCAATAACATCTCCTTCCCACTTGGAAATTTCAATGGAAAGATCATCCAAATTCTCACATTTACCATTTGCTAATTGTCTCAGTTGAGTCATCACTTCAGCTTTAGAAAATAATCCTGGATTTCCTTAACAACGTGGCATTGATGCAACATGAGGAAAAAAATTAAGCTTTTCAGCAAAAGAAACCAAAGACTTGAGATCAAGAGTAGGTTTGGAAGATCGTAGTGCCAACCGCCTCCAAAAAGATTTGGAATTCTTCAACAGCTCCTTTGTCAAGCACTCTTGCTTCCGCCTCAAAAAAGCTTGTTTTTTAGACTTCACCAAGTCTTTGTATAGTCTTGTCAAAATAAGTCGATTGTGAAGATCCAAAGATTTATCATATGATCTTGCCCTTGCTTGCTTGCAATCAAAGTCAAACCATCATTTGCAAGGAAGACCTCTAGCTCTCTTGCTCTTATGTCTAAAAAATAATTTAGAATCAGAGTTTTTGAGCAACTTGGTTAGTTGCAAACTAGATATATATGGATCAAGGTTTCAAGTAGTACAAGTCAAGAGGTTTTGTAAATGTTCACTATAAAGTTGCCTCTTACTAGCATCTAAACAAAAATTGGGGAAAGTAGAAACATAGTTACATGTAGAGAGAGGAATTGACTCATACAACAAAAGAGTAAATAAAAGAGATATATGATTTGATTCTGGTTGAGGTTTTAGAATATCAAACGTTGAGATAAATGAACTATCAGTGGTAGAGTACAAAAGATAATCTAAAGTGCTAACACCGGTAGAGGAAAAACAAGTATTGAAGTGGGAGTTGGGAAAGAAAGAAACACCATTGAGAACTTTCATATTACATGTGGCTCCAAAAGTCAAACAATGCTCAATCCAAGACAAACAAACAATGCTGAAAAAATGCTCATATCATGTTCTCTTCCAGAGATTATGATATGAACTAAATCTGAACTAAATCTGCCATATCTCATATGCGAACTTGTACTTTTTGAGAAACTGTACTTTTTGAGAAATTGTACTTTTTGAGAAACTGTACTTTTTGAGAAATTGTACTTTTTGAGAAACTGTACAAGAATGAATCCAACAAATGATTCTTCAAGAGCAAACTGTACATGGAACTTTCAAATCAAACGTAGGGAACAATACATGTATTGTTTCCTATGTCTCAAGCGTTATGAGGTCTACATACTTCTTTGAGATCAAAAAATTAATAAAAGGTTCTGCTCATAAGTAGTCCACATTACGATTCTGCGTATGAAGTTGAATGAAAACAATGATAACCATAGGAACAAAGATAAAGTTTCAGAGGCCGGCTAAGAGAGTAAAATTGTTATCTTTCAATCTTTCATTAAATAATGAGATCAGAGAAAATAGCTCTACTACTTACATGATGACGGGTGGCCTACAAACTGTCTGATACTCTTAATGTTTGAGCTAAGACTTCTTTAGAAGAAACTTATTCCTAAAAGAGTGAATACGCAAGCAAAAGATGCAAACCTGTACTCTTTGAGAAATTGTACAAGAATGAATCCAACAAATAGTTCTAGAAGATGATGTAGTAGTGTATAGTATCCAAGAGAAAGAAAATGTGCCAAGATTAAAGATAAGAAGACACTATCCACTTGATGATACAATACATGCTTATATACGTACATCAACTATGATACAATCTTTCACTGGGTTCAAGACGAGATCAACCGAGCATTTTGGAGCTCCTTCACCTACTGCGGTTTCCAAATTGATCATCGGTGAAATGGAAAGTACGACAGTGATGAGCTGCAGTTGAGGGTGGTCTGGAGCTGGGGGATGAAGACCACCATTGCATATGCTTGCTTCACTGAGAGCAAAAACCATCGCACTACATGTATGTTAACCTCTCTAGTTGGTTCGTGGGGAGAAGAAACACAATCAAAGCATTAAGTACTTCTCATCT